ATGAAATGCATCTGATTGGGTTATGAGCATGATACAGAGTATCCTAAACACAGTATAGCTTACTAATCATTTAAGGAAGAACTGTGAAATCTGTTAAGTCTTTGGGTTTAACAAAATTAACATTATTAAGCAGTTACCAGCATTTAAAGACAACCCTTCCACTTCACTTTAGTACTCCTCGCTTGTTGTTTATTGGAGTATGTAGCAGTTTTACCTTATTGGACGTGAGACCGGCGCCGGCTCCTAACTTCTGATCTCTGATAACGTCGATGTCCATGACCATGAACTCCTCCAGCTGCCGCGGGCTACACAGACTGCTGAACGGGTGACGCCAGAATGTGTTCCCATCCACCTCAGCAACTGAAATCAAACACACACTACAATAAATACAACCCCATCCTCTAAAGACCTGGGCGTTGTGATTGACAGCAGTTTTTAAAAAAACATATTTCAGCAAAAGTTAATGGAGAAGCACGATAATGGATATGACAATATTAATGTATTTGATCTCGTCAGACTAAATGTGTCCCTGCAGCACAAAAGCAGTGTTGAGTCGCTGGGGGATATTTGTAGCAATAGCCAACAATACATTGTATGGGTCACAATTATACATTTCTCTTTTATGCCAAAAATCATTAGGATATTAAGTAAAGATCATGTTCCATGAAGATATCTTGTTCTACCGTAAATATATCAAAACTTAATGTTTGATTAGTAATATGCATTGCTAAGAACTTAATTTGAACAACTTTAAAGATGATTTTCTCAATATTTAGATTTTTTTGCACCCTCAGATTCCAGATTTTCAAATAGTTGCATCTCAGACAAATATTGTGCTATCCTAACACACCATACATTAATGGAAAGCTCATTTATTCAGCTTTCAATGATGTATTAATCTCAATTTCACAAAATTGACTCTTATGACTGGTTTTGTGCTCCAGGGTCACATATCTGCAACACATGCTGCAGCCGATACACACACTACCCTTCAACCATTGAGAGTCGTAAGATGAAGTCTCTTCTGCTCACCAAGACTGCGTTTATTTGATAAGAAATACAGAAGAAGAGTAATACTGTGAAACACTAGCCTATTTCAAGTTAAAACAGCTGTTTTCTACGTGAATGTGTTAAACTGTAATGTATTCCTGTGATGCGCAGCTGTA